GGCACTGGCCCCAATACCAGTTAACACTGTGGCTGCGGCCCCGCCTTCATGCGTTTTTCATTTAACCGTTACCGGAAGCGTTCATGAGAAAGTTTCCGCTTTCATAACCGAATTTTAATTAACTTTCGAAAACCTAATTACAAAGTATTATTATAATGAAAAAGCAGTGCACAAAGCGAACGAAAGGGGCGGCCCATGACACAGGCAAGGCAAGGCAGGGCAGGAGCAGCAGCACGGGCAGGGCTACCCGAGTTCTGCCCCTGCAGCTAAAAGAAAAAAGTGCTGTGACTACAACGATGTCGACAACGACAACGACGACGATGGCGACGACGAGGTTGCCTCCGCCATTGCTACGTGAGCTGTCTTTGCCCTTTCTGTGCTATGGCGAATGGGGAGGGGACCGGAGACGGGGATCGGTGGCACTACTTCCTGTGTATCCATCCGGTATAAGCTGGCTCTGCTGCCGCCGCCGCTGCCGCTGCTGCTTCGTTTACGGGTGCGCCGCACTGGGGAGTAAAAGAGTTGGCATTGCCTGCCATTTTTATGGCAGAGACTCTTTTATGGCCCAGCTTTAGCTTCAGCTCCGGCCCCATGCCCCATGCCCAGCCCCATTGCCAGCTGGACTGGCTGCCGGCTCTTTTTAGTTCTCTGTGTCTCGTTTCAAAATTAAATATTCCATTAGAAAATTACTACAAGATTGTGGTTTCTAACCTGCGCTGAAAAAGCTTACCAACTAATTGGATGCTGCCCAAGCTCTCGCTCACTCTCAGCTAAATCAGGTAGAGACTAAACTACAAGTCGCATTTGTGGTTCTACCGAAGTGGAACAAATCCCTTCTTCACTTGACTCAATTTACTTTATATCAACTCGTTCACATAGTGGAATAGTATACATGTTTTATGATGTGTTAGGCATTCTTTGTCTATAAGACTTTAGGTTTAGAAATACAAATAATTAAATCAAATTAAAATTTAGATAGAACGTGTATTTTCCATAGTTTGCGATCTGGAATTAACTAAATAGCTAGCCTCATTGAAAGATTTTATTCGAAAACTCAATATGATATTTTTCGCTAAAAAAAAGCTATGTAAACTGACTATATTATATAAAAGAGAAGGATATGAATATTTATTAGCAAATATTTCTATTATTTTTTCTATTAATATTCATTTGAATCCAAAGCCAAAGACTTTCAGCTTTATTTATTCAACACATATGTTTTGCTAAAAAAGCAGGGGCAGAGGTAATTTAGACATATAAACATATACATAGACATTTCAATAAATATTTGAAACGTCTATATATAAATGTAGGCGACATTTAATTCTACAGCTGCCTTCAGTGGATGCACATACATTTTTAATGCCCTACAAAATGTGATGACAATTTTGTAATTGTATTGTGACAGCGGCAGTTTTATTTTTTGATGATGGTGGTGCTGGAACCCACTCGAAGCCAAAAGCTGAAACTTTTTAATAGAATTTTATATGCAAAGCGGAAAGCAGGGACTAGTCCGTCATATGCGAAAATAATTACATATTGATCGCGTGCCCTGGCGAAGCGGCTTTGGCTTTGGCTGTGGCATTTATGAATAGATAGCTCCAGTCTGTCAGAGTAAGGAGCAGAGCTCAACAAACCCTTGCCCCTGCCCAGATGCCATCGAACACGAGCGTCTTTGCAGCGCGCATGTCTGACATGAAGGGGCTTAAATATAGAATGTGAACAAACTGATTGTGGGTGGTGATGGTGGAGTGGGTGGTGTTGGTGAGGGTGGTGCTGGTGCGAATGGGGTCTGGTTTGGTGGTTGCAGCAACCCCAAAGCACAGATTTCAGAACACCAGTTCAATCCAACTGGGGTTGCTTGCCGCCAAAATGAAGAAACTCTAACGTTGCCCACAATGTCAAGGAAAGAAAATCGAAATCGAAATCGAAGTCGAAGTCGTTGTCGTTGTCGTTGTCTAACAGACCAACGCCATTTTCTTGGCTCTGGCTGGGCTCCCCCCAAACAAAGTGCGCTCTTTTATGCAGAGCCATAAAATGTATTAAAGCAACGGTCATACGAATTGATATACATATAAAATGGTGACCTTCCAGGCAGCTTAATTAAAAAGACAACAGCTTGTTAAACATGACCGGATACCGCATGGCACACACCGCACTGGGCAGATAAGTGTGTGTGATGGAGCGCTAGAAAGGTATTTTATTCGAGAATTATAAATGAGAGCCCAGCCAGGCAAGCGACCAAACAGTCAGCCAGTCAGACAGTCAGCCATACATGTGACGAATTGTAGATTCTTGAAATGAATCACAAAGATAACTAACCATGGTCCCAGTAGTTATAATGTAAATACATTTGAAACTTCACCTAGGTACGTATACCAAGTGCTATATGTTTGTGTAAAGGGTAACTGCGTCGGATCAGGCGCGCTCGTTATTTATATTGGACAGATAAGAAGCTGATAGCTGAGGGCAGCCAGTCCTAGGTGTCATATGTATATAGGGACACTGAGCAGCGGCGTCCATTGCTGCATTTAGGATAGGTAACTATCACGCTGGCTAGGCTGGGCAACTCAGGAGTATTGTTGTTGTTGTTGTTGTTGCAGTTGCTGTTGCTGTTGCGATTGTTTACCTTGTTGTTCGTTGCAATTTACGAGCACACTCTGATAAGTTTATCAAAAAAAGGAGAGAAAACTGCACTCTACATCCGAGTTGCGATAAGATAGGCGAGAGCTCTTGGAACCGCTCGATGGGTTGGGTGCAGTTCGCAGGCGCTATCGGTCGTTCATGTTGCTGCATTGATAGTTCGATCCAATCAATACAGAACTGCTTGTTGGAGGTCAGTTGTTTAAGCAAACAAAGGCAGCGCTTTGATTACTTTCAGCCCATGGAAAGTTCAAACAAATCGTGGATATTTTTTCATATTTTTTTTTTTTTTATTTCAAACATTAAAATTGTCTTTTTTAAATTTTTGCACGATTTATAATATTAATTTAACTAGCTTTAGATTTCGGATGTTTATTATTTCGTTTTCTGCTGACATTTATGAATTTCAATGCGAATATTTTACATTGTATATTATTTCTTGTGTTTTTATTTTATTCTTTGCATTTCCATATTTAAACTATTTCTGTATATTAATTTTAATCAATTAGCTTAGCTTGATGTAAAAATGCGTGTTTGTGTGATTTTGTTAACGCACAATAATAAAATTAATATTAAAAATTATTGAATAATAATTGCAGTTTTTCGTTCAATGTTGTTTTTTTGTTTCGTGTTTCGTCTTGCTCTTTTATTATTTATGCTAATTAAATGTTAAATGCTATACAATATTTTTTAATCTTGTGTAGCATACAATTTGATTAATTCTCAAGTTAGATTAAATTGATGTTGTTTTTTTTTTTTTTTTTTTTTTTTTTTTTTGTTTTGTTTATTTATATTTATTTTTTTTTTTTCGTCGGGCGTTGAGTTTAAATTTAGCTGTCTTAAATACGATATAGTACATACACATATATTTATAGACTATTTACAAATGGCTTAGGCCTAAACGAATTCGTACAAGAACAGAAAACACTCAATGCAAATAAAAATTGATGTTTAGTTATTGTATGTAGACACATAATAAAAATGGAAATAATTTATAAATAATATGATAAAAACGTGACGTTTCCAATGCATAACCAATTGTTGTTGCTTAGTTCGATAAATTTGAGGATTCTTAATGGGGATCTTGAAATTGTTGGATAATTCTTGTTTATTTGGTTTTTGATCATTTGCGATTCGAATTCGATTGCCTTTGGATAAAGGAATTGGTTTTTGTTTGTGTTTATTTTACTTTTCTTTTCTTGTAATGGACATTACACACAATCCCGCTCTTCTCTCTCTCTCTTTGTCTCTCTTTTGCGGTGTCTCTCTCTCTCTCTCTCTCTCTCTCTCTCTCTCTCATCTATCTTTGTGTAGCTATATCAGTTGCTTTCACACACATTTAAAATGTTGAATTTAAACCGATTTGATTGTTATTGCTTATATAGAGAATAAACAAATGGCACGGAAGTTCTTGTTTTTAGCAGACATAAATGTTAACAAAGTTCTATTGCTGAACGGCCAATAGAATCAACTATATATATGTGGCCGTTACTGCGCTTACAACTACATCACTTTTTTCTTGAATTCCTCAACAGAATGACTTTGAAAAAAACAGAACAAAAACATAAAGGCAAAGACTAAGCATGTGCTTCCAGAAGATTGGGTTGAACTATTTACAAGTGTAGGAGCCTTACTCACGTGCTCGTGAGCTCAAAGGATGCGCCCAGGTGCTAAAAGCCATTGAACAGTCGCTCGCTAATTGGGCCCGGCCGCCCGTACCCAACTGTGATTGCAGCCAGGTCCGGGCAGCGAGTCGGCGAGTCGCTCAGTTCCTACACAAAGCCGCGCCTTGTGCTGGGCTACAGCAGATTCTGTAAGGCGGCGGCGCTGTTGAATGTCAGGCTGTGATTCCAGTTGCGATAACTGGCCGCAGCCGCATATTGTTGATAGTTGTTGTAGAGCTGCTGCTGCGCCGCCTGATGCTGCTGCAGTTGCTCCTCGCTGAGGTCGCTGGTTATGTTGGAGGAGTCTTCCTGCAGCTCCGCTGAGAGTTGGCTATGCAGCAGCTGCTGCTGCTGCTGTTGTTGTTGCTGCTGCTGCTGCTGGTGTTGCTGTTGCTGCTGCTGTTGTTGCTGCTGCTGATGCTGCTGCTGCTGCTGCTGTTGCACTGAGGCGGCCAACTTCTGTGAGAAATTGGCGGCCACCGCTGGCTTGCTGCTGGCCTTTGTTGTGGTATTTGTAGCGGATGTCAGTTGCTGCGCCGCCTGCTGCTGCTGCTGTTGTTGCTGCTGGTGGTGCTGCTGTTGCTGTTGCTGCAAGTGTTGCTGCTGGTGCTGCTGCTGCTGATGCGAGCCGCCGCCGCCGCCAAAGCGCAGCATCTGCTCCGCGCGCCCTTAAGCCAGCGGGTACTGATGATGTCACAAGCTCGTGGTGCCGGCAGGCGCGTGGTAACCGAGACTCTGGTAGTACGAGTCCTGGCCTAAGGCAGCATGTGAGTTGGTCAGCGGACTGAGTGTGTTGTACCCGGCGTACTGGCTCATGTCGTACATCTTGATGTCCGCCTTGGACTCTGTGGGCAGCAGGCGATTGATGGAGAATGGATGGCTGGAGGGCGTGTAGCCGGAGGGCTCCTGTTTCAGTGGATGCATCGACGAGTGGTAGTCGCTGATCAGCGACGGATGGCACCGGTTGGCCATCATCGCGGACAGCTCCTCCTGCTGCAACTGGTGGTGCTGGTGATGGTGATGCGTGGGCACGTGTTGCGGCTGCTGGCCGAGGCACAGCTCTGCGTTGGCATGCAGCATGGCCAGCGCCTCGGCATCCTTGCTGTGCGCCGCGCTTAGCACGTTGACGCCCGCCAGTGCCACGCCGCCGCCGCCCGCCTCTTTGTGGTGCTGGTGGTGCTCCAGGCGACTCGTGTGATGGTGATGGTGCATGTGATGCGACTCCTCGTGGTCCTTCTTGCCCGGACTGGTCGCCTCCAAGCTACTGTGCGACGGACTCTTGTGCAGCTGACGTATGGCCTCCTTCTTCTCGTCCTTGAACCGCTTCTGGCGACGCAGATAGCAGCCGTTCTCAAACATGTTGCCGGAGTCCGGGTGCAGCGTCCAGAAGGAGCCCTTGCCCGGCTTGTCCGGAGTGCGTGGTATCTTCACGAAGCAGTCGTTGAAGCTCAGTGAGTGACGTATGGAGTTCTGCCAGCGCTGTTGATTCTGCCGATAGAACGGGAACAGATCCATGATGAACTGATAGATCTCCGACAAGGTAAGCATGCGTGTAGGATTGTTCTGTATGGCCATCGTGATGAGCGAGATGTAGCTGTAAGGCGGCTTCGCGTGCGTGTAGCTGCGTCTGTATGTAGTTGGCTTGTCCACGCCCCGTCGTCCCAGGGAGTTGGGTGAGCCGGGCTCCATGTCCCGCGTGCCTGGTGGCATCGATCCGTAGCTGCCGCCCAAGCCAGCCGCCGACATGCTCGCCGCCGACATGGCCATGCAGCCGCCCATGTTGCCCAGAGGCGAGCCCATGCTCGCGTAGCTCATCGAGCTGGGGGTCATGCAGTTGCCGCCCATGGAGTTCATAGCCGCTGCCGCTCCCATGCTGCCGCTCATGCTGGCCACCGCCGCCGCAGAGTCTAGGACACTGGCGCCAAAGGTGGCCGCCGCTTGTGGCGAAACGGAGGACATGCCGCCCACTGTTAGACCCATGCTGTTCATGGTGTAAGCGGAGCGCGCCAATGGACTCATGCTGCCGCCATTGGAGGTGGGATTGGGATTGTTGTTGCTAGTCGGGATAGAGCCACCGCCGCCACCACCACCACCTCCGCCGCCGCCTCCGCCACCGCCGCCCGAAGATGGAGCGCCGCCAGCACTAGACATGCTAACTGGCGCGCTGCTGGGCGGCGGCTCAGCATAGAGCTTTTGCATTATATCTATGGTGGTCTGGTGGGGACTACCCTTGAGAAAACTGTTCAATAATTGCGCCGTTATGTTGCCGACTTTTTGAACGCGCTGCGTTAAAAATTTACGGAAGAAATTGTCGACGCGCCTAATCCGCGCGCTCGATTTACAAAAATTATAAAGGTAACAAAAAGAATTTCTGTTTTGTTTTCTTTTGTTGTTGTTGTTGTTGTTGTTGTTGTTGTTTCGATATCGATTTGAATTTAGTTGTTATTGTTGTTGTTGTTCAATGCACTGTCACTACATTAATTAAATTCAATATTTGCTGCATTTTCGTGCACTATGCTTCTCACTTATTGTTGTTGAAAGTTCTATTCTAGCAGCAATTGTTGCTGCTGGTATTGGTGTTGCGATTGCTGCTGCTACCGTTGGTGCTGCCTTGGCTCGGCTTTGGCATTTGTTTGTGCACTTGTCGCTCCTCTTGAGCTAAACACTTTGATTAATTTATTTGTATGCGCCGCTGATGCCTTGTGCAAATTTGGAAATAAAATAACGTGGCAAATATGACTCTATTTTAATGCGCGCCGCGCCGCAACGAACCGACGCACGAACGTGAATTGTTAGCTTGCTTTTGGCCACTGAGTCTGAGTCTGAGGTTGCTGAGCTGCTGCTGCTGAGCCAACTGGAGGCTGCTGCTGCTGCGGCTGCTGCTGTTCCCGTTGCCGTTGACGTTGCCGGTGCTGTTGCTGTTGCTGGTCCGCTCGAGTGTCTCTTTGGCTTGAGCTCTTGAATGTGACTGTTTGCAGAGGGGAACGCTTGTCTACTATTTGGCTTGCGCTTGCTGCCAACAAATATTGTTCGAGCCGCGCTCAAGTGCCGCCGACGATGACGATGACAGCGACTGCGACGCCAGCAGCGACTGCGTCAGTTGCCAGAGACAGCGCCGACTCGCTCTCACCCACAGCCGTTAGCCGTCTTTCCGTCTCACACTCGCACGCACACTCTCGCACACACTCACACACAAGCACACAGCGACTCGCAGCGGCAGCTGACACCACGATTCACCACCGGTTCCGAGGTCTTGCCAATGACAGGCTCCGGTTCTCTTACGTACACAGCGCTGGCAGCGCACGCGCATTGGCCAGCGGGCTCTTGTGTTCACAGAGCAGCGCCTGGTTGCCAAGACAACAAATGGGCGGAGCCAAAGCGTGCGGCGAGCGAGCAACGCCCTCGTTGTCTGTTGCCTGTGGAGCACGGTCAGCTGCCTCGTACACGCCACAAATAAGCACTAACACAATTACACACACACACATACATACATTCAATCGCACACATTGACAGCCAGCAGTGAGAGCTCTAATGCCGCGTGTTGTCGCTGTGTGAGCGACGCCATGTTACAGTTAACGATTTTCTCTAATACGATCAATAATCGCGCGCTCCCGCTTACACGCCAGCCGCAGAGCCCCAGCCCTGCCGGCTGAGGCGCTGTGTTTAGCCAGAGAATTTCGACGGCGTTTGTGACAAAAACAAAAAGAATGAGTGTATGGCTCCAAAGAAGCAAGACATTAATAATACCACTCTGAGTGTCTGTATTTGTGTGTGTGTGCGTGTGTGTGTGTTTGAGTGTGTTTTTTCTTCCTTTTTTTAAAGCTTGCACATTTGAGGTTAAGGTACGCCAATGTCACTCTCGTTCATTCACATTCGTAGCGAGGCGTCGCGCACAACGGCAGCAACAGCAGCAGCAGCAGCAGCAGCAGTAGCAGCAGCAATAGCCGTAGTAACCGTCAGCGGCAATCGTCAGCAGCAGCCATCAGCAACAGCAACAGCAGCAGCAGCAGCAGCCGCATCTTTCTTTTTTGGCAAGTCATTGCGAAAGTGACCCAATTCTGGATGCGTCGTCATCTTACTTGTACTTCTTCTACCTGAGTGCAGTTCATTGATGCTAAACTGCACGCGTGCAATGTGGAATACTTCCTGGACCACCGACTATCGACCGCCGACCGTTTATGGCCGTGGATAAAACGCATTTTAATTTCGGTTGTAAAAACTTTAAGCAATTTCTGCTTGACGCCTTCCATTGTGTCTTCCATTTAACCCTTTCACTATCTTTCTGTGTATGTGTGTGCGTGTGCGTGTGTGTCTGTGTGTCGGTGTGTCATATTTGTATTCACTCATCATCATCACGGCCATAACTGCTTTATGGGTAGGGCAATATACGTTTTGCATCCGCGACTCCGTCCCCGCTCTCTCTCTCCTGCTGCCTTTCCCTCGTATTCGTGCTCGTTCTTGAGCCGGTGCGCAAAGTTTTTCAATGAAAATTTCTACTCAATTATGTGTTACCTGAAATATACAAATATGCGGAAATCCCACATTGGAAATCGCTTGTGCTGTTGTGCAGTTTTACATCCAGTCTCTGCTTCAGTTCCCATGTCAAAGCTCACATATCATTATGACATTTAGCAAAGCATTTCAATATTCAAAAACATTTATTTAGATTTAATTTAGTCGAAATTCCTGCATTAAATCGAAATTAACTTTGCGTGACATTAATACAAAACATTTTATATTTTTGCGTGTCTATCTGTCTCTCATTTTTCACAGTAATTAACCCCTGATATATATAAATATTTTTAAATATTTGTTTCACTGCATTTCATCCAAATTCAGTATTACACGGGAGAAAGCGAAGCTTAAATAATTAAATAATAAATAATTAAATAATTTCATTTTCAATTCACATGTAATTGACCCCCATTATAAAGAAGAGTTCGAAGGCAATAGATAAATAACCTTACGCATTCTCTCAGGTTCTCTTTGAAATTGTCTAGTATGAGTATAATATATAGACAGTCTATATATTAGAGTCTATATAAAATATGCTCTCTCGAAAATTATAATTTGAATTCATTCCATAATCAAGTGAATAATTGAAACTACAATTTCAAAGCATGCAAGCGATACATTTAATTGTATTTGATGTACATACGGCTTTGTTTATGTGCAGAGCTAACAGAGCAGAGTACGCACACACACAGATAGAGAGAGAGAGAGACAGAGATATAGATGTATTTATGTACTTACAGATACACACATCCAACTCAATATGGGCTATTTATATCATGATATGAGCACACACAAAGATACTCATTCTTTGATGCAGACTGAAATGTTCAAATGCTCCTCGCGCCTTTGTGTGCCGTTCTAATAATGTGCTTAAATATTTAATATTTTTATTGTACTATTTCCCAGGCGATCCCCAGTTCCCCTGCACCCTTGTCCCTGCTAGCGGCTAGCTGGTCCCTGGCCCATCATTGTTTGTCCGGGGGCAACACTTTCCGATGACGTAGAGCAAATACTCGCAGTAGTCCAAAAATATACATACGAGTACATGAATGTATTCGGGTATTTATTTACCTTTTAGTAATTTATCTATTTATTTATTTACTTTTAAAGCGCGCCACTTTCAGGCCTGGTCAATTCGGTCTGGTTGGCATGGGCTTGGATCTGAATCGAAATCAGTTTCGGCTGGACTCGGCTCGGATCGAGTACGAGTGCGTAAGCCCTGCTCAAACTTTTTAATTAGTTTCAATTGTCGACGCGCGTTGGCCGTGTGGGTGGCCAATAAACAGACGCATAGACAGACACATGTACATATATATTTATGAAAAATATTTGCTTTATAACTAGTTTTTGTTTTGCTGCTGTTGTTGTTGTTGTTGTTGTTTTTGTTTTCTATTTCATTGACTGTTTATATAGCTTTAAAATGCAGCGCATTTTGTTCGATTTAAGCACTCAGATGACGCATGCGTCGTGTGGCTGTGACTTTACAAAAATGTCCGCTTTGACCAAGTTATCACCGATACACTTATATTTGGTTGTTTGTATCTGTGTGCGCATATCAATATGTATGAAATGTGTAATATTTATTTTTATTGTTATTATTGATTTATTTGTTTATACAATATTTTCACACAAATTAAAATACTTTACCGACTCGTTGGCTTCGCCTTGTCAAAAATCAACCACAACAGCAACGCGGACGCCGACGCCAACGCCAACGTCAACGGCGATGCCAACGTCGACGTCGCGATGTCAGTGATGCACATGTTATTTATCCCCATTCTCTTCTTCTTCTTCTTTTTTTTTTTTTTTTTTTTAACCCAACCCAATTATTGATGCTCATTAGTACGTATTTAATTGTTTGCCAAATTTCGTAAAGTAAAATATGAGCGCAACGCTCTAATATGTCAGGCAAACAAATCATTGCCGAAGAGTTTAAAGCTTCTGGTGTTTGCTTTGCATTAAGGCTTTACATTAGGGCCCCAGACACGTGTCTTCGCTTCACTCAAATGAATATATTTTTAGGGCTTGGGAAATCCTTTATATTCTTTAATATCATTATGCGAATTCCAAACAAACTAATTTGGTCGTGTTATACGCATCTTTCACATCTCTTTCTCTAATTCTTTGTTTTATTCTCATATATTAGCAAAATTTGTTTTACGTCATAGAATTTTGCCAAACTTAAAAAGTGGAACTCTATAAAACCGGTTTTAGTTGGTCCAATATCCGCCCGATATAAATAAAATGGCATTAAATTTTTTATGTATAAATAAAAAGTTAAATGTTTAAATTGATATAATTATGTACATATATAAATTCTTCTCGTCGGTATAGTCATATTCATCGGACAGAAAGAATGTGCCTCATATAACATATGTATGTCAGGCAAGATAAATTGATTGTAATTTTTATATAAATATTTCTAGAATTATATTTAATATACATATAATCATATGAGTGAGCATTCTATATATAAAAAAATTGTTAAAAGACATTTGAAGAAAAATGTAAATTGTGTACAGCCGTCACTATATCAACCATAAAGCATCTAACTTGTTGAATTGAGAGACTAAGTTAAGATTGCATAGGTGGAAAACTACCCCAAACTTGTTTTATATCCTACTCTGTCATTTACTTTTTTTCGATGGAGTAAATTTCTTCAAAATAAGAAGAATGAGTTAGATAGTACGTATACTTATTTATGCTCATACCATTTCTTAAATAATCATAATAAAATATGTCGACAATTGGTATGATAGAATCTTTATGAGGGATTATTCTGTAATATCAGTTAATCATTCCATATTAATTTCATTTCAATAAGTTGGCATAAAGTATTGCCTATGTATCGGTGCATGTACTGGGATTTAAGCATACTCCTTTTAGTGTCTGTATTTC